AGGTTTATATTTAGTGTGTTTTCAGCACCGAGCTGACCCGTTTTCCTCCCGAACCGACCTGCTGCTGCGGTCAGCTGTCCCAAACCGTGAACCCGAACTACTTCAACACGCTGCTAGAAGAAAATACTTTGCATTAAAGAAAATATTCAGAAACAAAAAGCTGAAGGAGAGCAAACCCAGAGTTCTGGTTCTGGTATCCCTCCAAGTCTCAGAAACATCTGCAGCTTAAAGACAAAATAACACAATAAAATCTAAATGATTAAAAACAGGATGAAGCTAAAAATAAAGATGGCTTCTTGCGCAGCATACGGCAACCAGATGGATTTATGGTCACATTTTCCTCTGGTACCAGCTGACCGGTTCCTCTAAACATGGACCGGGCCTTGTAGGGAAGGAAGCTTTATATAAATACTAACAGCAGAACCTCAGCAGCTGCTCCGGGACGCTTCTGGACCAGAACAGAGTTCAGTTAAACACGTGTGATCTGAATGGAGATCCTCAGGGTCATAATTATGCATACACCCCCAGTGATCAATGTCTGCATTCTTCTAATGGGTTGGTTTCCTGTTCAGCTGGGTGCGTTTGGATAACAGTTCTGTTGGAGACCCATCGGGGTTCCGACCCGGTCCAAAGTTAACACCTCAGTCTGGATTGAGACGTGCGGGTGTCCCCATGGACGAGACTAATGTCCTCTGGAGAAGATTTGGATGAGTCAATATGGACACACAGCAAAATGAGCTGCAAACACATCAATGATGCAAACTCCAAAACAGAAAATCACTAAAATAAAAAAAGGAACGCTTTGAATAAAAAAATGTTGCAGCAACAGGAAACAAGCAACAGAGAAGATTCCACCAACAGCAGCCAGATTCAAACGCTGCACAAAACAGAAGTCCTCCAGACCACTAGGGGGAGTCTGGGGCAGGTAATATCACCTTCATGAATATAATGCAAAAGACATGAAGTACAACAGGCTGCACAGCGGTGCAGTTGGTAACACCGTTGCTTTGCAGCCTGGGTTCGATTCCCAGCCCGGGGTCTTTCTGCAGGTTCTCCCTGAGCACGGATGGTTCTGTCCAGGTTTTCCAACTTCCTCCCACAGTCCAGAAACATGACTATCGGTGTGTGCATGGTTGGTTGTCCTGCCTCTCGGCCAAAACGTCTCGCTGGAGAGGCACCAGCACCCCTCCCAATAAATGACTTAACTGGTCATCCCGTTAAGTCATCGTGTATTTTCCTGACCTCCTCTGTAACTACAGAACCTGATAATCACCACTGAGGGTCCAGTCCACGCCATCAGTTGGTCGGCTCCCCCTAGTGGTCTGGAGGACTTCTGTTTAGTCAGCAGGGTTTCATGCTGGTGGATCAAGTAATAAAGTAGAACCTCCAGACTGACCTCAGAACCAGCAGCTAGTTGGACCCAGCTGGTTCTGAGGTGAACCAAACGGGTCAGAACTGGTACTGGAATGGAGAAGGAAGGCTAACACTGACCATCTGGAGCCGTGTAGAATCGCTGACCCAGAAAACCAACCAGTTGAGATTAACTGCACCACAAGCTGGCTAATGGCTACGTTAGCCGTCATAAATGTAAATTTATGAGCTTGTGTGGATCAGAGTGAATGGAGACCCGACTCCAATCTGCAGAACCTGATTACCCTCATCTGATGGAAACAGAAGCTCAGCCAACCAGTAGAAACAGAAACACGTTTATTCAGCAGCCAAAACAGGAAGTTGGGTGGAAACAGGAAGTAGGATGGAAACTACTGGGTTCTCTCCATGTTTATCTGAAACAACAATCAGCAGAGCTATTTACAAATCAGGCAGCTGCAAACAGCCAATCGTCATCGTCGTCTGAGCGGGGGCGGGGTCATGGGATGAATCCGGG